GGGGGGGAAGAAAAAGATTGTAAATAAAGCTCAGTCACCACATGAAACCAGTCATTAGCCCCGGGTTCAAGAAGAGAATGAAAATAAACAGGGAACAGTGAGAGCGCAAAGCCGCATACTTTGTACCTCAGTCGGTGTGAGACAACAGAATAAAGAAGTGTCACAAATCACATCGATATCAGTAGCAATTCTATCATATACCCTGCCACCCCAGTGATTAAATAGGGAATTAAATACCTTTTAGAACTGCTACGAAGAAAAGGAAATGGAGCCAAAGTGTCATTTTCCCTGTTGTTGTTGGGGAAAGTTCTCAGGGGATTGGCTGGTAACAGCCCGACCCAGGGGCTGTGGATTGTGTCTCCGGGTGCAGCCTAGGGAGAGAGAGGACAGATTTAACAGGAACCTTCCCCCAATTTGCATATCCCGCCCCTTATAAGAAACACAAATGCCTTCCCTGAGTGATATGAATTACTTGCAATAGAGCTCAGGAAAAGAGAGTCAGACTATGTCTTGTGCAGCACCTGACACATTGTGGTGAGATCCTGATTCTTCTTGAGCATAAGAGACAAATTAACAACTCCCTTGAATATGTAATGAATGCAGCTGTGCTGGAATGGACCATTCAGTTCGTATTAGTTCTCTCCAAATTTTGTGATACTGAATTTGCAGCTCCTCCTCTTTATAAGACACATCTTGGGCCTCAGCGAACTCAGCCTCCCGGAGGTGGGTGAAGTGGGAAAGGGTTATCTGGGTAAAGGAGAAGAGTAAGAACTCCACTCGCAGAATAATTGCTGAACTGGTCTCTAATATTTTTAGAGACAAAATTGCTCATTGATTGTTCACCTTCCACTCAGTTCTGCCTGCTTGTCCCTCTGCTTTTGTGAGGTCATTAGGCCGGTGTGATCTAGTGGCGGGACGTTAGCCTGGTACTTGAGAAACCGGGGGGTTATTCCTGTCTCTACTATGAGTATGATGGGTGACCTTGGACAAGAGACTTACACTCTCTGTGCCTCACTCTCTATGTCTATAAAATGTGGGGGGAAAGATATTGAACCTCCTTTGTCAGTGCTTTGAGATCTACGGGTGGAAAACCACTATAGAGTAGCCAGGTGTTGTTATTACTACTCATGTCTGAAACCTTCTTCTTCTTGTTCTAGAAGAAGAATTGGAGAAAGTTTATGAAACTCCTTCTAGCAATGCTGGACTAGATGACAGAATTATTACTCATTATTATTATTATATTCTTGCTGTCTCTGCCCAGCACATATCACCAGCTAGATACCTAGGGGATTTCACTGCCTACAGGGTGCAGGCTTTGAGGATCTCGGTGGCATGTCTAATTTAGGCACATAAGGAGGCAGTTAGTTGCTGAATTCCCTTTGTGGATCTAGCCCTGAACACACATTGAAAGCCCCTGGCAGGTGGCTGTCCAGCGCTCCTAGGATCCGTCCAGAATTCAAACCTATCCGCCCAGGATGAAGTTTTCTTGCTCTCCCGAAGGGTTATAATAGGAATGAGCTGTCCATATCTGTAAGGCAGCTTGGAAACCCTCAGCCTGGCTGTTAAAGGGGGGGGGAGGGGTTTAAATAACATGTTTTCATTCATTTTAATGTTGGTTCTCTCAGCCTGGGGTATTGGGAGGTGCGGGGGAGGGGGTGAGGGAAGGCGGGGAGGGGTGGAGTGAGGGGCACAGAGTATATTGGGGGAAAGGGAAAGTTGAGGGCTGGTCTCTTCTAACAGTGCAGTTAGTCTGTGTCTGCATCTGTGTGTGTGAGAGTCACAGACAGGCAGCTGTGGACAGGAGTTTTCTCGCTCACTGCTCTGCGCTGCGAGCTGTAGAACTCCAGCGCCCCCCAGTGGAGAGTTTGTCCTTAGCCAGCGAGGGCAGGTTTTTGTCTGAGCTCAGACCGGCTTTACCTCACTGTGTGTCCCGCACAGTGATACCGGGCGGTGTCCTCGGGCTTCAGGCCGGTCATTTGCAGATACAGCAGGTTGTTGGGGTTGTCTCTGGAGATGGTGAATCGGCCTTTCACTGAGTCTCTGTAAAATTGTTGGCTCCCATCAGTGTAAATGTATGAGACCCACTCCAGTCCCTTCCCGGGAGCCTGACGGACCCAGCTCATAGCGTAGCTGCTGAAGATGAACCTGGAGGCTTTGCAGGAGAGGCGGAGAGAGTCTCCAGGCTTTTTCACATCCCCTCCGGACTCCACCAGCTGCACCTGGGACCGGACACCTGGGGATAGGAAGATATTATATATCTCATTAATATTCAGAGCAATAATAGACTGTTCCCCTGCCCCACCAATGGGTGTGAGGAGAGAAAATACCTTCCAGAGCCACTGCAAGGAACACTACATGGAGCCAAAGTCTCATTTCCCGGGTGTCAGAGGGGAAAGTTCTCAAGGGATTTGCTGGTAACTGCACAGACCCAGGGGCTGCGGATTATGTCTCCAGGTGCTGCCTGGGCAGAGATAGAGACAGAGTTAAACAGGAAACTGTCACCCTGATTTGAATATCCTGCTCCTTATAAGAGAAACAAACTCCTTTGCTGGGTGATCTGATTTCTTGCCCTCCTTTGTTTTCAGTGCTGTGGAACAGAGCTGTCTTCCCCGGTCTCTGTGGGGGGAGGGGAGGTTTTGGTCTGAGCTCAGATCAGCTTCCCCTCATGGTGTCTCTCTATGCGCCAGAGAGAGACAGGTGTGATTCACACCTGATACAAGGCAGGCTTCAAGCTGGTCATTTGCAGGTAGAAGTTGGAGCTGTCCTTGGAGGCTGTGAATCGCCCCTGGATGGAGGGGGAGTAGTTATTCGTGACTGAAGATTTGTGATACTGGAGCGGCCACTCCAGTCCCTTTCCCGGCTGCTGTCTGACCCAAATCATCCACCGATGGTTAGGGACAAACCTGCTCACGGCGCATGTCAGAAGGGTGGATTCCCCGGGCTGCTTCCCTTCGGGACCCGACTGGGTCAGAACAACCTGCGAACGGGCCCCTGGAGAGGAGGGATGAGGGAGGAGAGAAAACAGGGAACAGTGAAGGAACCAGTCAACTTAAATACATTCTCCACCAATTAACAAGAGGCAAAGAAATCAATAAAATTGTGTTTACAGATAACTACATTAATGGCAATGATATAATGCCTCGGATTCCGAGAGAAGGGGAGATGTGTGTCAATGTGTGTAGCGCTCCGACCCAAATCCCACTGAAACCCAAGGGGATTTTTGTTAGTGGCTTGGTTAGACATTGGATCAGGTCCCATGTCTTTGTGTGGAGTCCTGCACAATGGGAACCTGGTCCGGAAATGCTCCAGAAAGGAGCTGTCAGAGCAGAAAGAGAGGAAGACGGGAGTGAGGGATCATAGCATAAAAGAGAAAAAGGATGAAAGGAAGCTGCAGTCCTGGTGATGACAGCCAAGCGCTTCTAGGCCACCTTTCAATCATCATCATCTTCATCCTCCTCCTCTTCATTATCACCTTTGGCGCATTCTCAAACTTTACAAGCAAATACATATATATATAATCGTTTTCGGTAGTGCCTCATCTCTAACAAGGGGACAGCAGCATTTCCCTCTCTCACAGAGATGTTGAGAAAGCAAGAACATTAAACATTGTGAGGGGCTAATATATTACCTCAATTTGGGGCATACTAGTACCTGCGATAAAACTTGGAGTCCTGAATCACTGCTATTCAGTTATAATATTGTCGTGAATAATAATAATAAATAAATAATGATAATTTATTCTTTTTGTTGTGGTTGGGCCTGGGAGTTGTCTTTCGGATCTCAGTAGTCGAAGCCCAGGGCCATCTCAGGACAAACAGATGTTCCCTCTCCCAGAGATTTGTTTGTTGGATATAATTTATGTCGCATCAGTCCCAGCACGCGGGTCCCCAGACTCCACCAGCTGCACCTGAGACCGGACACCTGGGAATAAAGCACGTTGTAAATCCTATAAATACCCATAGCAATAATAAAATCTTCCTCTGCCTGTCCAAATACATTTAGGAGGATAAATTATCTTCGAAAGCTGCTATAATGAACATTAAATGGAGCCAAAGCCTCATTTTTCCTGGTGTTGTAGAAGAAAGTTCAGGGATGGGGGTGGGGGAGTGTTGGCTGGTAACAGCACAGAGACAGGGGGCAGCGGATTGTCTCTCCGGAGAGAAAGAGAGATATAAACAGGAAATACACATCTGTATTTACATATGCACCATCGATATAAAAAAGAATAACTCCTTCCCCGATCGATCATACTGTCTAGATCTGGAGATCCAAGACAAGGAGGAAGACCCATCACTAGATAGATAGAGAGAGAGAGAGAGAGAGAGAGCAAGGGGGGGGTGCATGGGGATAGATAGATATTTGGTACAGGAATGTTAAAATGGTGTCAGAGTTTTCAGTCCTGAAGCCCTTCACTCTCTTGTGCCCAAGACAGGACTGTTTTGCTTGTGTCATTGCTGCCCCCATGCGGCAGGCGCGGGAAGCCCCGCAGCTCTGAAGAAGTGGGCTGTAGTCCACAAAAGCTTATGCTCTAATAAATTTGTTAGTCTCTAAGGTGCCACAAGTACTCCTGTTCTTTTTGCGGATACAGACTAACACGGCTGCTACTCTGAAACCCACAGCTCTGGTTTTTGTATTAGCATCGACAGTGTTAGTCTCTCTGTGTGTGAATAGTGTCTGCCACAGTAATAGCGGGCGGTGTCCTCGGCTCTCAGGCCGGTCATTTGCAGATACAGCTCACTCTTGGAATTGTCCCTGGAGATGGTGAATCGGCCTTTCACAGCTGGGGAATACGATTGGCTCGATCCATCGGGCCTAATCTCAGCCACCCACTCCAGCCCCTTCCCGGGAGCCTGTCGGACCCAGTGCATAAGGCAGCTGCTGAAGGTGAACCTGGAGGCTTTGCAGGAGAGGCGGAGAGAGTCTCCGGGCTTTTTCACATCCCCTCCGGACTCCACTAGCTGGACCTGGGACCAACACCTACAAATAAAGGCATGTTACAAGTATGGGTACAAAACAATAATAATTGTATAGTCTCCTGGCTCTGCCATTTAATCAGGAGAACAAAATACCTCCCAAAGCTGATACAATTAAAACAATTGTGATCCAAAGTCTCATTTTGCCTGGTTTGGAGGGGAAAGTTCTCAGGGGACTGGCTGGTAACTGCACAGACCCCGAGGGCTGCGGATTTTCTATCTGGGTGCAGCCTGGGCAGAGAGAGGGACAGATTTAAACAGGAAACTCTCCACTCATATTTGCATATTCCCCTCCTTTCCTTAAGGCTGTTCATTTCTTGCCCCAGGGCTCAGAGGGGAGTCAGATCATCCCTTCCTGTGTGTCTGTGCAGCGCCCAGCCAGGCCGGTGGGCTATAAAAGGGAAAGAAGCAGCTGCCGGGAATGAGCCCAATCCCCCTGTTATGAAGTTAGCGCCTGATTGTTATCAAATGATACAGTCGTGGGGAAGGGGTCTCCGGCGCCCCCGCCCATACGAACGTTGGGTCAGTAACTGGGGAGGGGTCCGGTCACAGGGTTGCATTGAGCTGGGACACCCACTGGAGAATTAAGTTTCCCTGGGGTGGCGAGTGCAGTGTGTCTGGGAGTCTTTCTCTAGGTGAAACTGCAGGCAGCTCTGAAGGGAGATAATTATTAGAGATTGAGATTCATATTGGTGATTACATTCCCTTTCCTGTTCCCATTCCCACTCATACTGCCCTTTTCATTTATACCTAGGTTGCTAACCCGTTGTGGGTAGAGTCCTTGTGTTCTGTCTTTGTACAGTGCCTAGCCCTCGGGGGCCTTAGTCTGTGATAGGAGGCTTTAGGTGCTAGGACCACAACCACCCCCAACTCCAACACCACCACTACTACTATTTCCATTCCCACTTACATTCATACACCTAGAGCCATTCACTCACTCATCTGTCCATTCCCATCTCCAGTCTGACTCACGTTCTCTTTAATGTCCCCGTGCTCATTCTCACACATGCTGATGTTCCCATTGACACTCATATTCCTGTTTGCATTCCCATTCCTAGTTATCCGCACCCACCTATACCCATGTCCAGTCAAACTCCCATTCCTACCCTGTGACGTTATTGACATAAACTGGGACCGTATAGATCATTGTTCCAACCAAGGTCCTGTAGTGGCACCCAATAAATGCATAAGTTACTTACTTGGGCAAGTTCAAAACCACTAACCACTTGGATGCTAAATAAACT